TGATTTTGTGAGGAGATGAGTTGGATCAGGACTCCTATCAATTAGCATTTAAAAGGCCAAAGCAACAACCCCACCACCATAATTTATGGAATATAGCTCCGAGGAATTAGCTCAGATGACAGAGCACTCAATTAGCTTATGAGAGGCAGTGTCTGTTTGCCTCATTTTCCATTTTTTATGGGATCTCATGTGATTGTTGCTGAATAAATGTCTTATTGAATTGAAAGAACATGAGATTATGGGGAATCCAATGTTAAGTTAAAGAAAACAAATCCGGGTAGGGTCCTTATTTATAGTAAAAAGAAATATAAAGGAGATTTTAAATTCCTTTCAGACTTACTTGGTTGGACAGTTAGGGAGGTCCCACTCCCGAAAATGAGCTTGTTAGCATTATCACTCCTCACAGTCATCTACAGCTTTACAAAAAGTGTGTTGATAGAACTTAAGAGCTTGCCTGGGGATTTCTTTTTACTCTGAGCATAGAAAACATCCTAGAAGCCAAAGGGTCCCATAATATGTTTATAAGGATTCTCCAAATCAGAGAGTTTTCAGATAAAATAATTGCTAATCACAAGATATGGCTTCCATTTTGTAACTCTCACCTTGAATACCAGGAACAAGACCTTCCAAAGAACTCAAGGAAGTGGAATCCAAATTTTCAAATTCAAATTCTACTTCAGAGTTGTTATACAAAGCAATTGCCAGGAAGAATTAATTCTTTCAAAGACAGGGATATTCCTGCTAGTTCTTAGCCTGATGAAGAAGGTTTTAGTAGCATTACTAATTTTTTTTTCTCTAGAAGCTAAATTAGAAAGGTTTCTTTGTGGCTGTAGTGAAAGGTCAAGTTGGAGTTGACTGATTTGTAATTTGTCTCATACTTACATGGTCTGACCCTCAAAAGGGTTCCAGAGCCAAAGGTGACTTTGTTCCAACTTTCACACAGTGACAAACTTCTCTACAAATATGCCCTGGGGACCCCCAGTTTAATTTTCAAAATAACTCAGGCCTTAGAAAGTGAACACATGATCAATTCATCTTGCTCATTAGAATTGGCTGATATTTTGCTAAGAAGCACAAGACACAATGATTGAGGAAACAATTGTAGAAACACCTAGAAGCCAAGATGGAAAAAAGACCAGCTGTATAACCAGACTCTAATGACTGGCAGGATTTGACTCACAGCATATTTTCTGCCTCGGCTAGGAAAGATTTCACAACTCTACACTGGACAAAGTATCCCCAAAGTTGGGTATGTCCTTTCCTTTTAGGAAATGCTTACAGATTTCTAGCCAGAGCTCTTCATCCAACTTCCCCTAACCATATTTTCTTCAGGTTATTTTCTTCAACATTTAGGTCCTAGAAGAAGGCATCCACTTCTTCTCATCATCTATTTTTAACCCATAGGAACCAAAAATCCTGCTTAGCCTGCTGGAAATATTACCTGGAAAAAGAAGCTTGGTATAGACTGCTTCCAAATAGGTTGCAAGTATTTTGTCCCTGTGACTATTAATTTGAAATCACTCTCCTTCTTCTTTTTATGAATCTCTTTGCATGCTGTGAATGCACTTCATACCTTGAGATGCTTACAACAGCATGTAGAAATGTGACATTTTCCTTGCTTGTGCTAAGTTTGCATTCAGCCATTGTTCCCTGAAGAACACTGATGATTTTGGAGCCTGCTGTGGAAAAGAAGCCTGGGCATCCTTTAGTCTCCTGGCCCCATGGCTCCGCTCTGCCACTGATTTACCACATAATCAAGGGCATGTCTCTGGGATACATTTTCCCCGTCTGTAATCTGGGGAGAGAAATACTTTCCTCTCTGATGATTTACCCAGAGAGAGGGAAAATACCCCAACACCTAAAAGTGCTCTGTACAGTTTCCCTGAAAGATGCCTTCTGGTAAGGACATCACACTACCCTTCCTGTGAAGAGATTTCAATCCTCTAAACTCACAATCCTTACCCTTCTGGGTTCGAATGGAGGGGAAAATATCCCTCTAGGTTATGATTGTGGTTGAGACAGATTTGAAATCTGAACTTGGAAAAGTTTCACACATCCCATTCTTTCCCATTTGGGTTCTGTTTTTCTTTCCATCTTATTGTGAAGCTGTCTTTAGTTACAAGATTGGGCTCATTCAAACTTTCCGCACCATTCCATTTGGGTTTATTATATGTGCTATGTCTGCCTCCCTGTGCTTTGCATGTACTACCGTGCATTAAAACAAAACACAACCAAGATTCACTTACTCGATTTCACAGTTAACTTTGTGCCCTGCCCAAAGTGCAGTTGATTATTTCCAGATGTAGTCCCACAATGATATCCAACCTTGCAAAAACCTGCTCAAGCTTTCCAAGTGATATTTTCCCCCTTCCAGTGAGATTGTACCTTCTCCCTAGAGACAAGGTACATTCCCCAGTCCAAAGCATAGATTTCTCATATTTCTGCAAATGCCTTTGCCATCAGAAGACAGAAAAAACCCCAACAAAGAAAACCCCAAGAACCAACAATTAAGGTCTGTTTTGGGAAAGCACACTTACTAGATACCTCTTTATCTCCCTTGATTTCTGCCTAAAGCTTGAGATAATTCAACGTAAACTTATCATGTAAGATGAAAATGCAGAAGCAGTCATTCTACCCTAATCCTTTTCTCTTCATGTTTGCAAACAATTGTAGTGGCAAAACCCCCAAAAAACCAAACCCCTTTTCAAAGCCCCCCCAACCCTCCCCCCCCCAAAAACCAGGGAAACATGTCAAACACAACCTTCCAGTATTGTGAACCGTATTTCGAGTTTTAAGTTTTAAATGCTCAAGACTGAGTTTCTCCTAGAAAAACTTGGGTATCTGGCTTTTAGCCACCCCTTCTAATTACCAAAGAGGAGAGATTATACATTCTTCTAGCTGTACCATATGCAGTCTGGTAAAACTACAGACCATTACACAGATCACCTGGAAGTTAAGTGACTGTGTGGTATGAAACAGGAATTAATAACCTGATTTCCTAACCAATGATAAAGGACTTATTGAGTTTCACAGTAAGTATAGTTATTGTTCCAAAGATGAGCTTTTCCATCAAATTACCAAACATTATTTTAAGTCATCCCCAAAAGTGCTTTCTTTTATTTATGGAAAGTTCTCCCTCCCCCCAACTCTTTTTCCCCTCCCCAATGTTTCCTGAGAAACACACTCCTCCCTACTTCTGAATCATCAAAGATTCCAGGTGACCCTTTCAGATCATGCTCTATTGGAGCAATGGAGAGAAACTGAGATTAAAGGCTTTAATTGGGAGATGCCAGACATGTGTAATCTATTTTGATTCTGCCAAATACTTCTTCATGAGACAAAATTAGGAAGAACAGAAATTCTCTCTCTTCAGGTGGTATCAGTGAGTTCCTTGGCTCTAAATACAGACCTTCTGAAAGCACCTGATATCCTGATGTTGTCTTTATCCTCTTCTCACACCTCAAAGTTTTTCAATTTTCTCTGAAATCACCTCATTTTCCTGCTCTAATATTTTCTTCCAAAGCTTTCCTTTCTCCACCCACATGGACACTCCTCTAGTTCAGTTTCCTCACTGGACTATTATCCCTACTGGACTCTGCCTGTAGTCATCCTCCCCTGCCCCCATCCATCTTTCACACAACTGCCATTATAATCTAAGGTCCAGGTCTGACCCATGTCACTTCACTGCTTAACAACCTTCACTGACTCCCTATTATCTCTGGCTTAAAATACAAACTTTTCAGTTTGCTGTTTAAGGCCTTAGAGCATCTAGGTGTTGAAGTGGATAGAGTACCTGGAGTCAGAAAGATTAGTTTTCCTGAGTTCGAATATGGCCACAGCCACTTCTAGTTGTGTGACCCTATTTGCCTCAGTTTCCTCATCTGTAAAATGAACTGGAGAAGGAAATGGCAAACCACTCTGGTATCTTTGCCAAGAAAATCCCAAATGGGATCATGGAGAGCTTGCCATGACTGAACAACAAATTTAAGACCTTTCATATTCTGACTTCAGCTTGCTTTTCCAGCCTTATTTCATATTATTCCTCTTCATGAATTCTATATTCTAGACAAGATGGACTACTGGATTTGTCCTGAACTCAATCAACATTCTTCTATTTTTATGCATTTGCCCAAGCTGCCCCCTCTGCCTGAAACACAGACCTTCATCACAGCCTCTCAAAATCCCCGTCTCAAGTGCTAATCCCTCCCTGGTCTTCCCAGTTAGTTGTTAGTGATCTCCTTCTCCTCAAATTATCTTGTATTATACTTATCTATCTATACATGGCATTTTTCTCCCTCCTCCCTCCAAGTAAGTTCCTCGAGGCCAGGGATTGTTTTATTTTTGTCTTTATATTTCTAGCAATGAATACTGTCCTGTACACATAAAAAGTAGTAGAAAAATGTTGACTGCTTTGAATAGCCTCTCCCCCTCTAACTTCTTTCTAAAGTCTATGTCTAGATTTTGCCTTTTCTCTTAGCCTACACAAATGTTGGGGTTTAGTCTAAGGCCATATTACAGCAGGGGATAGAGTGCCAGTACTGGAGTCTGGAAGACTCAAGTTCAAAATCCAGCCTCAGACACTTATTAGCCATGTGACCCTGGGTTTAACTTCTGTTTGTCTCAGTTTCCTCATTTGTTAAATAGTAATAGCGCCTATGTCTCAAAGCTGTTGTGAGGATCAAAATAGATAATAATTGTGAAATCCTTAGTACAGTGCCTAGAACATAATAAATGATATATAAATATTAGCTATTGCTACTACCACCACCACCACCACCACTTTCACCAGCCTACCCTCCCACCAGCTATTCTCAAGCAGGGAAATAAGTAAAACCAGCATCAATATTCATTGTAATTCATTCACCCTGTGATTGGTCATTTACCAAACTCTCTGTACATTTGGTCCTAGAGACAGAAGACTGAAGTAGGTGACCTACCACCTGATCTTCTCTGGGGGTTTTTCTGCAGAGTGTACTGATAACTTTTTCTGGTTGACTTACTTGGAATGACAGTTAGACTTGTTCCAGAACCCCAAAAAAGTCTCTGGTCGCCAGAGACACACTGTGATAGGAAACTTAACAAAAACCAAGAGCTGAGGGGAGGGGAGGGTCCTGCCAGATTACTTCTTTCCTTCAGTGCTGGCACCTGCATGGGGACATCCCCAAGAAGGAACCTCAATGATTGAAACAGCTGTTACCATGATCATGCTGATGTGGGGATTGATTCCTACCCTGGAGCAGGATTAAAAGAAAAGGCATTTATTGCTTAATCAGAGCTGCAGGACCATTTGTTTTATGGTCAGCCCATGGTTTGTTTTTAATCCCTTTTTCTTTTAAAATTTTATTTCTCTCTTGATGATCACGTGATACTGAAATACATTTTAAACTGGTCTCCTTCTTACATCTTTGGACCCTAGTAAAACTTTCTCATTTCTCTGCTAAATTACTCAGGCTTCTCATTTCCCCTCAGAATCACTCAGCTTGGGGCTCTGATTCTCTTATTCATTTCTAACTTTTCTCATATCCCTATTGTGCGAAGTTTCCATCCCCCAGTTTCCTTTTGTTCTCTGCCTCTCCTTCTGCAGACACTGAGAACGTGCGTGTCACAGAACAAGCCCTGTGCTCTCTGTTCTGCCTGTTAGTCTCATACTGTTTTCAGGTTCCACCTACTTTAGCTTTTCTTTGCCTTTGTTCCCAACCTATGTTAATCAAGCCCCTCCATTCCTCTGGCCTTGTCACCTCCACAGCAATCAGAATGCTTCAGACACCCTTTCTCCAGAATCTCAAGAGGTCTAGCATCATCGCTGCAAATAGCCTTTCAGAAGACGCCCTCGGGAGACTGACTTACTTGCAGTGACTGTTAAGCTTGTCCCTTGCCCAAATGTCAGCTTCTTGTTCCTATTGGCACACTGCCACTCAACCCTTTGCAAAAACTGGCAGTGAACTGACACATCGGTAGCCCTCTAGGGTCTCCAACCCCAAACTGCTCCTGGCCTGACTTCTAGCCACCCCTCCCCGCTTTCCCATATAGGTCTACACAGAGAGAAAATTGGGTGTCATGGAAAGCACGTTGGCTTCAGAGTCTGGAGCCTGGGACTCTGATTCTAAACCTGATGCTTAATAGCTGTGTGATCATGGGGAAATGACTTTATTATCCTCTTCTACAAAATAGGAATTACTATTACTGACACCCATATGAATCAACCAGCATGCATTTATTTAGCACCTGTTCTGTGCTAGGCACTGGGCTAAACAAAGATACAACAAAAACATAAAAAAAAATCTTCCTATCCTCAAGGAACTTATATTCTAAAGGGAAAGGCGATGTATACAAACATCAGTACTCATAAGATAAATACAGAGTGGACGGAAGGCAGCCTTAGGGAGGAAGACACTAGTAAGGGCAAACCACAAGCTCCCTAAACCTCCATTTACTTATTTGTAAAATGAGAGGGTTGGTCCCTTCCATTTCTGAATCCATAGTCCTGTGATAATAGGCATGTTTTGAGGAAAGCTCTGTTAACCATAAAATGCTATACTATGTAAAAGTGATTTGTTGTAATTGTAGTTCGAGAGCCAAAAATGATGCCAGAGGCCATTTAGTCCAAATCTCTCATTTTACAGATGAGGAAACTGAGTCCTAGGAAGTCTATGTGACTTGTCCAAGGTCACAGAGTAATAAGTGTCTGAGTCAGGATTTCAACCGTAGTCCTCTGTTTTCAGAGCCAAGGCTCTCTTCACTGGATCTCATTGCCTCCTTAATATCATGAGACCAGTGAGCGAGGAGCTCATACCTATAAGCAGGTGTCCCAGGGACTGCCTGTAATCTGTTCTGCTGAGGGGCATGAGAAAAGCATTTGGGTCTCATTATACTTCCTAGACATGCTGCGGGTTTTCAAAAACATCATTCCGCCTCACTCTTCTCCTCCCCCCCTCTTAATTGTCCTCTCATCCTCACAATATCCCAATCTACATCTCATTTTCATATCCCAGCTCTCATTTTGATGGCACTGAGTCCCTCAGGCACCATTGATCCAGCCCTCCCTGAGACAGCATATGTTCAGAGAAACGCGCCGTGATTAAAGGACTGGAAATACCAGAATCTCAAAGGCTGCTCTCCTCGGCCCCTCGTTCTTTATCTTCGGTCAATATGTTGTTCTCATTTGTCTGGCTAATGAAGAGCTGACCTTTCTACAGTGGTGGATGCGTTTTGCAGACATAACAAACACTAGAGAGCTAGCAACAAAAGATCAGAGCTGAAGGCGACTTGTTCTTTTCAGGCTTCCAGGTGTTTAGTCAAAAAGGTTCCCTAGATCAAATGTCAGCCTCTTGTTTTCAGTTCCCAATTTACGTGGTTTTCAGAGAGAACCTTACAAAAGCCAGGGAGCAGTGCGCCAAGCTCATTGGTACCAGGAATCATGTAGAGACATAACTTGTTATGACCTCTGGATTTAGACTTATGAGAACTGTGTGTTCGAATCCCAGCTGTTACTTATGTAGCCTGTGTGACCTTGGACAAGTCATTTACAGAATTACATAGTGGTAGAACATATGAGACTTGGAAGGGACCTGAAAGGACATCTATTTAGTCCAATCTCTATGAGGGAACCCACTACCTTTAGAAGCAGGGGGTTTCATTTTTGGATGGCTCTAATTGCTAGGTTTTTCCTGACATCAAGTCTAACTAATGTTGCTTCTTTACATTTTTCACTATTTGCTCCAGTCCTGGCCCTCTGGGGCCAGGTAGAACAAGTCTAATCCTTCCTGCATATGACAGTTCTTCAAATAAGTATTTGAAGATCCCTAATTAGTCCCTGGGAGCTTTCTTTTCTTCCAACTAAACCTTTTCAGTTCCTTCAACCAATTTTCTCATGACAAGGACTCTAGGACCTTCACCATTCTGGTTGCCCTCCTCTGGACACTTTCTAGCTTATCCAAGTAGTTCTTAAACTGTAGTGTTCAGAATTGAACAGGGTACTTCAGATGAGATCTGATAAGGACATCAGTTTTAGCCTCTTTTTTTTTTGGCAGATGCATCACATGGCCAAGTTGTACTGAGCTTGTAGTCCACTAAAACCTCAGGATCTTTTTTTCAGAATTACTGACATAAGACCATGCCTCCCCTCTATTACACTTGTGTAGATAATGTTTTGTATCCATTTTCAGGACTGCATTTATACCTATTGAATTTTGATCTTATTAGATTCAGCCCAGTGCTCTTTTGGATTCTGACCCAATATGTTAGCTATCCATCTGCAAATCTGATGATCATACCACCTATGCCTTTATTCAATTCACTATTAAAAATGTTAAACAACACAAGGCTAAGCACATATCCCTGGGGTAGTTTATCAGACACTTCTTACCACATTAATATGAAACCATTAACAATTACTCTTTTATTCTAACCACTGAACCATTTTTGAATCCATCTGGTTGCATTATGGTCTAATTCATGTCTCTTCATCTTTAACTTCAATGAACCTCAGTTTCTCTTGAAGGACTTGAAAGAGATGATCCCTCCCAGCTCTAAATTCTGCAATCCCAATATAAAGCCTCATAATGCTTACCAACAAGAAGTCTATGTATGCTGACACTCAGAGGTCCATGTGAGGACAATGGTTTCTGAGAGCCTCCCCCTTCTTGCAGTACAGGCAGTGTGTCATCTGCCTGATCAATAATTCCTTGGGAACATGGGGAGGCAAGAGAGCAGAGAAGAATAGTGATTCCTAAACAATTGGGACTGGATCCCCGCCCTTTGGAATTATGGGAGGACTCTATACCCTAAACTAAACACCTGAAAAAAGAAATGTAAAATATGCCATGTGAATGTTTACTACAGAACCAGCTTCACCTCTCTTCTCTATCAGCCATCCCAGTTTGACTCTAGGTCATCATTCTTCAGTGAAAGAAAGATCTCTGCCTTTTTCTTCTTATAGATGGGCTTTCCCCTACCTGTCTCAGATTAATTCCATTTATTCTGCTCATGGGATTTCACAATTCTCCTCTAGCTCATTTTTAGCCTACCCCATTAGGGCTCTAGTGAGTGGGTCAGAAACACTTCAGTAGAGGATTACTGTGAAAATTCAGAAGTGGAGAATTTGCTTTTTTCTCTCCAAACTCCCAACTTACTTGGTTTTATGGTTAATTGCGTCCCCATTCCAAATGTCAGCTTCTCATTGTTACCTATCACACCACAGTAGGGAGCTTTACAAAAAATGGCAGAGGGCCTTGATGAATCTTAAAAGCCAGTCATCATCTAGCCAGAGTTTCCATCTCCTCCATAGGAGCCAGCAGCAGTAGCAGACACACCAAAGCCCAAGGAATCCACATCTTCCTTATCTGGTCTCATTATTAGCACAGAGAACTGTCACCACAAGGAGAAAGGCACTAACCATCATACCTGGGTGTCTTTGAAGTGAGTCACATTCCTTTGCTTGCTAGTTTCAGAAATAGGGGACAGACTGTTATCTTCCATTCCTTCTTTCTCCTTAATCTTATAGGGTCCTAATGGATGAGGTCATTTGGGCGATGTTAGGGAGCCACGACTGAAGGAAGTCAGAGAATCTCCTTACCTGTAAATCTCTTAAAAAATAGCAAGGATATGTCTCTCCTGATTTAGGGACAACTTTGCTTTGTGGCAGGGGTATAAATTGGATGACTGTCAGAAAACTAGAGGAGTCTTTGAATATTGAAAATAAAGAGGCAAGGCTTTGAAGTAACCATATTAACCCGAAATTAGATGTGAATCCTCAGTTCATAGCTAGTAATAATAATAATAGCTAGTATTTATGAAGTGCTTTAAAGTTTTCAAAATGCTTTGCATTATCTCATTTGATCCTCACAACAACTCTGGGAGGTAGGTGCTATATTGTAAAATATATATATATATTTATTATTATTATTATTATCTCCATTTTACAGATGGGGCAGCCAGTAGTTAAGTGGCTTGTCCAGGGTCACACAGTTAGCAAGTGTCTGGGGCCAGATTTGAACTCAGGTCTTCCTTATTCCAGGTCCAATGCTATATCTATCAAGTCACCTAGCTGACCTGGTGAGC